TTGAAGATTAGTGACATATAGTAGTGGTATGTGACGCTACTTATGAGAACTGAAACTTTGTGGTGACAGTTTCTGATGCTTTTCTTTATTTAGTTTTTCTTGTGCAATGTGTAGATGTGGTTCATTTGTATATTAACTTTAATATGTTATATATGTGCAATGTGTATATTTTTATATTTGGATGTAAATTTGAATGTACATGTATTATGTATATATGAGCAATGTGTATATGTGATATATTGTATGTAAATTTGAATGTATATTTATATATGTGCAATGTATGTATGTGATATATTTGTATGTTAATTCGAATGTGTACGTATATATGTATCTTTTTCCTTGTTATAATTTCTTTTTTTTTTCATAATTTGCAGTTTTGCCTGTATGAATCTTGTGTAAAGGAAGATTACATGTGTATTTATGACTGATCTTGTGTAATAGAAGATATGTAAGTGAAATTTTATTTTCAGTTTCTGCTTGGTTGCTTTGCCTTTTTGTTTGTTTGCTTTTTGTTTGCTTTTTGCTTTATTTATTATTTTTTGTTGCTTTATTTTGTTTATTTTGGCGGGAGTTGGCGGCTTTTATGTATTAAACATAATTTGATGTTTGTCTCAGTATCATTCATTCTTGTATTAAATACTGGTCATCTTGATATTATTGATTATTTCAGAAATTTTTCTGTGCGTGTCTATATTTACAATAAATCTTCTTGAACATGAATTTGTATCTTGTTTGTGTTTATGAGATAATTTATAGCATTTTGTTTACTTACAAAATCTTCTAATTATCGAATGTTACATAATTTTTCATTGGCTAATATTTTTCTGCTTCACTGATTTGTATATCACTACGCGTATAGCTTTATATAGTCTTCTCGCGGTTTTTTCCTTACAGTTTTGATAGACACGTCTCTGTTCAGTGAAAATTTTTTGAAATTTTTTTCAACCACTCCCGCCCCACCCTTAATTTTTGAAATGTTTAGCTTATTAAGTTTTTTTTTTTTTTTTTTTTATGCATATGTTTTAGCTTGCATGTATTTGAAATAGAGTTGCTTTGATTAATATGTTTCATATATGTTCATTTGAATTTTTGAAGATTAATTGATATTATATATGGTCCAGTTGGTTCTGAATTGTTATTGAACGGCGGCTTTTATGTATTAAACATAATTTGATGTTTGTCTCAGTATCATTCATTCTTGTATTAAATACTGGTCAATCTTGATATTATTGATTATTTCAGAAATTTTTCTGTGCGTGTCTATATTTACAATAAATCTTCTTGAACATGAATTTGTATCTTGTTTGTGTTTATGAGATAATTTCATATAGCATTACAAATAATGTCTATTAAAACATTGTAGTAGAAACTATTTATACATTTCATTAAAATTACATCAAAGGAATACTCGCATTATTATTTACAACAAGAAAAATAACAAACTTACCTTAAAAAAACATATAGTTTATGGTGCAACGTTTATTGTGTAAGGGTATGTTTACCTACAAATGGCGTTCTTGTATTAAAAAGGGGCCGTAACTCGTCATGAATGTTACATTATTATTGTTTTTTCTCAACTCTCTGTGTTCCATTGACGAATTGTTAAATTGTATTGTGCTATAGGTATTGTATTCACATTGCTTTATGCAAGAAACATTTGAATTTAATTTTAATTTCACCATAAGCTAGTATTCATGATTTGAATTGCTATTTAGATTTTTCTTATGCAATTAATCTTTTAGAGAAGCGATGGTCTAACAATTAAGGAGTATGCTTACTCAACTTAGTGTCGTGGGTTCGAGTCAAGTTAACTCACACCTCCGAGTGAATTTCTATAAAAATTCTAGAAAGCAAATTGAATTAAAATTTAAACTTTGTAAAACTACTGATCATTAAACTTAAACTTGTTTGATCCTCATTATCTCTGTATTTATTTTGCTTTATTCAATAATGTTAATAAAACATAACTTCCTAACATCACCATCGTCTTTATTCGCTTCTTTCTATGTATTTTTTATATTTGTTAAGTATTCCCAAGGGCATTGCTCCTACCTTATTCCTGCTGTTTGTATATACAATATACTTGTTGATATTTGCATATTGAAAGAAAGCATTTAAATATATGTTAAACAAGATCAACAAGGAAAGGCGACGTTCAAATGATCGCAGCCGCCACACAAACCCAGCAACAAGAACCAGTGGCAAGGAGCACAGACGGACCCCAAACAAAATCAGGACAAAGCACAAGGCAGAGCACGGACAGCTTATCAATAAAATGATAAATAAATGTAACTGATAAGGAATTCAAAGAAAACAAATAAATGATTGAAAAAATAGGAAATAATTTGTAACTGATAAGGAATTCAAAGAAAAACAAATAAAAATTTCAAATTTCTAAAATAAGGAGCTGACAGTTTATTGTTTGGATTTTTCTTATGCAATCAATCAAGGAGTATGCATACTCCACCAAGGGATCATGGGTTCGAGTCAAGTTAATTCACACCTCCGATGGCACAAAAAATTCAAGGAAGCAAATTTAATTTAAATTTTAACTTGGTACAAGGTTAGCTTTTAAAAAAGCTAGTAGCGACCTCGCTTCGTTATTTTTTTCGAGGGGCGTGTTTAAATGTAAAATAACAGTTCTGTAAGCTGAAAAGACTTCAGCGAACATCAAAAATAAAAGTGACATATAAAGTTATGGAAGTCAAGCCAGTTCTGTCAGTTTAACAAAGAGGAATATGAGTATATATGAAGATGCATGTAAACAAATTCTATGTACTCTATACGTGCTCTCGATGAAATGTTTAATAGTATTGTGGTATAGTCATTGTATTTTACATTGCTTTCTGCAATAAACAGTTGAATTTAATTTAAATGGCACCAGAGGCTAGTATCTATGATTTTAATTGCTCTTTGGTTCGTACTTATCTGGAAATTGTGTCCTTTTTTCTGTAGAAGTTTGATTTTGTTTGGGTCTCAATTCACACTAAATTTACCTGTAATGTTTCAATAGATGCACACTTACAGCAGTTTTATACATTAATTACGAAAGACCGGTGGGGATATTACAACTTCCCGAATTCACGATTTCAACTTCATGAGTTCATGATTTCAACTTCATGAGTTCATGATTTCAACTACACGAATTCAACCTTTAAGGTCAAGACTGGTGACATGTCCGGCGTCCGTACTCGACAGCGAAATCTGCTTTAAATGCCCTTATTAAACATACATACATACATACATACATACATACATACATACATGCCGTCAAATGTGAAGGAAATTTTAAAAACATCTATATTTTCAGTTTTAAGACGATATAAAAAACAGAATGACACAGAACAAAACTTTATTACGATTTGTACAAAATACAATGTCCATTGTTTACAAAACAATTTGCTTGCAAACACCATATATTTACTTACATTATATTGATAATAAACAAACATAACATAAAACATATATTTTTTTCACATATACAAATGCTTTATGACAAGTAAATAAAATGAAAATTCAAACATACATCACAGTATTTGAAAATTAAACAGACATACAAGTTGTGGGCATTACCAGAGCGAGTATTTTGATTTTAAACCTGTCAGTTGAGTGCGTGAATGTAATTATTAAATAGCGCCGTCGCGCTTTTGCGACTCCGTAAAAAATGGTATTGCACGACCGTGCAACTTCAATGTGGGAAACTGGGCAAACATCATTACCCTTTGGGACGGATACATCACTTCAAATGGCAAACACATGAAAGATACAGTTAAAAATTCACTTATTTTTAAAAAAAAATGAATTTAAAGAACTTTCAAATAATATAAGACTCTCAAAAATTGTTCCACAAATAAAGAAAGTTATCAGAATTAAAAATTACTGCTGCTATAAAATCTATATCGATATTGGCTTTTTTGCCAATCAGTATATCTGCTAAATTCTGTTAACATGTGCTTGTGATGTCACCAGTCAACTTGTCTTTAGTTGTATGACAATAAACAAACAAAGATTAACAAAATTTACAATAACATCTACATGGCTTGTCCCAAAGATTTGCAAAAATAAAAAATGACCCAATTGTCATCGCGTTTTCAGATCAATACATTAGTAAATACAATATATAAATATAGAGGATATTGAATGAGTGCAGGTTCAATACTAAAATTATATTATTGAACGAGGAGGCTAAAATCATGTTATGTGAGCCTCTGGTAAGCAACATTTTGTTCTATATGTAGTCTATTACATATACAACTTTTTGTGACTGATTCGTTGCTCCCTGTGCATTTTACCTCCAATCTTTAAGTTATTTACTACTAATTTCACAACTGTGTCCAACTTTGGTTCTTTTGCATGTGCCTTTGTAAATAAACCGAGTGCCTGAAGGTCGCTTTGCAAATTTGACATATTTAGTTCGATTTGGTTTAAACATATTTTTATTCAGATAAAATATTCATGTTAATAATTTACAATTTAAGCAGAAAGGAATTGGACCGAGAGCTACAATAGCTCAAAGTAGTCCTCTCCTTTAACAAAAGCAATATGTTTACATAATACATGGCTTATCATAATTTTAATTAAACCCTATAAAAAAAGAAGAAAGAATAAAAAAAATTACAAATACATGTATGCAATTGAAAGAAAATAATAAAACGATAATAAATAATTAGTTCGATTTACCAGTGTGAATTGCCATATGTGAAGTAAATTTAGATTTATAATGAAAATGTTTATCACAGAAATCACATGTATAATTTTTCTCACCAGTGTGAATTAACATATGCTTTTGAAGTGATTCTTTTCAAGCAAATGTGTTATCACATATTGTACATTTCAAGTCTTTTTAGCCAGTGTGAATTGTCAAATGCCTTTTAAGTCCACACTTTTGAGTGAATGTTTACTCACATATTTCACACTTATACTTTTTGATTCCTAAGTGAATGTTCATATGATTTTGAAGATGAACGTTTTGAGTGAATCAGTTACTGCACATGTCACACTTATAGCTTTTTTGTACCAGTGTGAATGGCCATATGTACTTTGAGAGTACAACAACGGGCAAATGCTTTGTCACATATTTTACACACATAGTTCTTTTCACCAGTATGAATTCGCAAATGTCTTTTAAGAGTACTGCTATGCGTGAATGAGACATCACAAATTTTACATGGGAAATTCTTTTCTCCTGTATGAATTCTAAAATGAGTTTTAAGGTCACGTTTAACATAAAATGATTTTTCACAATATTCACATTTATAATTTTTCTCACCAGTGTGAATTAGAGTATGATCTTTCAGATTACTATAACGAGTAAAGGACTTATCACAGAGATCACATTTAAACATTTTCAAGCCAGTATGGATAATCATATGTGAATTCAATGTACCTTTTTGTAAGAATGTTTTATCACACTTTTCACATTTATAGTTTTTCTCACCAGTGTGAATAAAACATATGCGTTTTAAGGTGTTCTTTTCTAGTAAATGTGTTATCACATATTGTACATTGAAAGTCTTTTTGGCCAGTGTGAATTGTCAAATGCCTTTTAAGTCCACACTTTTGCGCGAATGTTTTCTCACATATTTCACACTTATACTTTTTGATTCCTGTGTGAATGTTCATATGCCTTTGAAGATGAACTATTTCAGTGTATGAGTTGCTGAACATGTCACACTTATGGCTTTTTGTACCAGTGTGTATGGCCATGTGTACTTTGAGACCACTGCCACGGGTAAATGTTTTGTCACATATTTCACACTTAAATTTTTTTATTCCTGTGTGAATGTTCATATGCGTTTGAAGACCACCTCTTTGAGTGAATGATTTACTACATACGTCACACTTATAGTTTTTTTGTACCAGTGTGAACGACCATATGTTCTTTGACACTACTACCACGGGCAAATGCTTTGTCACATATTTCACACACATAGTTCTTTTCACCAGTATGAATTTGCAAATGTCTTTTAAGATTACTGCTATACGTGAATGAGACATCACAAATTTTACAAGTGAAATTCTTCTCTCCTGTATGTATTCTAAAATGTTTTTTAAGGTCACATTTAGAATAAAATGATTTTTCACAATTTTCACATTTATAATTTCTCTCACCAGTGTGAATTATAGTATGAGCTTTCAGATTACTATAACGGGTAAAGGACTTATCACATATATCACATCTATTGTTTTTCTCACTAGTGTGATTTTTCATGTGTGATGTAAGTTGACTTACGAAAAGAATATACTTCATAGCATATTTCACATCTATATTTCCCTCCTTCGTAATGACTAGTCATTTTGCGCTGACTTCCCGGAGATAAGTAAACCTTTTAATCCAAGTATTCCTTAAACTTCTCTGTTTTCTCTGCTTTTTTCACATGGATGGCAATAACCTGATTTCAAATATAGAACATTTTTATTAATTTTAGGAAATTGATTTCCACTTACAATTTAATGGAAGGGAATTCAACTGTTATTTACATATTTTTATCATTAATCTTCTTACATATAAACCATATTTTGATTGTTCTATTCTGTACAACAGTTACATAATAACAAAAGTTCAACATTCTTTCCTTTGCCATATATATTTATCCTTAGTGAAGGTATTCTATCCGCCAAAAAATTCTAACATCGGCCAATATCGTATTTCCGGAACGTTATTATTTACAAAATCGTGGGCATTACATTATTTACAATCACTCATCTTTTATTGCTATGCACTACATTCCGGTTATAAACGACTAAATATTATTGAATACCGAAGATTGTGAAAAATAACGTTCGAGAAATGATCGATTTATTACGATATTGCCCGATGTCAGAAATGTTTTGGCGGGATAGCATTTCAGCAAGACAACCTTAAGAATGCTAATTGTCGGAATTTACCGAAATAAATAATGAATTTTGTATAATTTTCATAAATAATAAAATAAAACATTTATTTTGCCAAATTGTTTACAAAAAAGATTAAAGGCCCATTATGGCTCAGAAATGCTCTTATTTATATTTCTCGAAGGATTTTTTTGTGTACTTTAATAGGTTCCAAAAAGTTACTGATTGGCTAATTTACCTGAACCATTTTTTTTATCTGCTGCCTTGTTTCAATTGGTATAGTTAGACTGATTTAGTATTTTGATACTTTCTTTGTTAACATTTTTCTACTTTTGTGACACATTTTTTTTTTGCATTTATCGCTAATTACTTGAAGTTACAAGCATCTTACTTGCTCAGAAATCATTATTTAGATTTACTCGTATTATGAAATTCATGTTGCCCTTTCTAAAGAGGAAAAAATTTATACATTTCTCAGGCATAATGTACCTATAAAGAAAATCAACATTAATGCAACTGGATACATGTATATTAAAATGTAATATGGTGTAGAACGAGATCAAGAAAACAGAAGCTGAGAAATTTGAATGAAGTAATTTAATAAACTTTATATTTACTTGATAGTATGCTTGCATTCCAGGTTATTAATTAAAAATATTTCTGATATACTTGAGTCAAGATATTTAAGACGCGCGCTACATAGTGATGTTTTGACTTACTAAGCCCGACTTTTTATACAGTTAGCATGCACTAATTATCGACTCTTCAATTGTTTCCTGTTTAGTTATGAAAAGAGTAAATATACATAAATAGGGTATATCTATTTTAACCCCCGGAAGTCTCGATGCACATCTATTCTATTATACTATGCTCGTTTTTTCTATGCTTTTGTTTTATTTACCTCAAAACAATTATCCAACAAATATCCTGCAACCCGATTTACTTTCTACTATCCTCTCCGGTAGCGTTACGGATAACAGCCTATATATACAGTTTTTTTTCTGTGTATAACTACTACCCTGAAAAGGTACTGTTCCCAATAGAAAATATACATTAAAATTCCCAATTTCTTATGTTTTAATTCCCAAAATGGCTGTTCAAAATTCCCACTAGGCAAAGTGATTTCTATGATTGTTATAAAGATCATATAGCATTACAAATAATGTCTATTAAAACATTGTAGTAGAAACTATTTATACATTTCATTAAAATTACATCAAAGGAATACTCGCATTATTATTTACAACAGAAAAATAACAAACTTACCTTAAAAACATATAGTTTATGGTGCAACGTTTATTGTGTAAGGGTATGTTTACCTACAAATGGCGTTCTTGTATTAAAGGGCTGTAACTCGTCATGAATGGTACATTATTATTGTCTTTTCTGAACTCTCTGTGTTCCATGTGATAAAATGCTAAATTGTATTGTGTTATAGGTATTGTATTCACATTGCTTTATGCAAGAAACATTTGAATTTAATTTTAATTTCACCATAAGCTAGTATTCATGATTTTAATTGCTATTTAGATTTTTCTTATGCAATTAAATAAAGGATTATGCTTACTCAACTTAGTGTCGTGGGTTCGAGTCAAGTTAACTCACACCTCCGAGTGGAATTTCTATAAAAATTCTAGAAAGCAAATTGAATTAAATTTAAACTTTGTAAAACTACTGATCATTAAACTTAAACTTGTTTGATCCTCATTATCTCTGTATTTATTTTGCTTTATTCAATAATGTTAATAAAACATAACTTCATAACATCACCATCGTCTTTATTCGCTTCTTTCTATGTATTGTTTATATTTGTTAAGTATTCCCAAGGGCACTGCTCCTACCTTATTCCTGCTGTTTGTATATACAATATAATTTGTTGATATTTTCATATTGAAAGTAAGCATTTAATATATGTTAAACAAGATCAACAAGGAAAGGCGACATTCAATGCTCGCAGCCGCCACACGACCCAGCGACAAGAACCAGTTGCAAGGAGCACAGGCGGACCCCAAACAAAATCAGGACAAAGCACAAGGCAGAGCACGGACAGCTTATCAATAAAATGATAAATAAATGTAACTGATAAGGAATTCAAAGAAAACAAATAAATGATTGAAAAAATAGGAAATAATTTGTAACTGATAAGGAATTCAAAGAAAACAAATAAAACTTTCAAATTCTAAAATAAGGAGCTGACAGTTTATTGTTTGGATTTTTCTTATGCAATCAATCAAGGAGTATGCATACTCCACCAAGGGATCATGGGTTCGAGTCAAGTTAATTCACACCTCCGATGGCACAAAAAATTCAAGGAAGCAAATTTAATTTAAATTTTAACTTGGTACAAGGTTAGCTTTTAAAAAAGCTAGAAGCGACTCGCTTCGTTATTTTTTTCCAGGGGCTTGTTTAAATGTAAAAATAACAGTTCTGTTAGCTGAAAAGACTTCAGCGAACATCAAAATAAAAGTGACATATAAAGTTATGGAAGTCAAGCCAGTTCTGTCAGTTTAATAAAGAGGAATATGAGTATATATAAAGATGCATGTAACAAATTCTATGTACTCTACGTGCTCTCGATGAAATGTTTAATAGTATTGTGGTATAGTCATTGTATTTACATTGCTTTCTGCAATAAACAGTTGAATTTAATTTAAATGGCACCATAAACTAGTATTTATGATTTTAATTGCTCTTTGGTTCGTACTTGTCTGGAAATTGTGTCCTTTTTTCTGTAGAAGTTTGATTTTGTTTGGGTCTCAATTCACACTAAATTTACCTGTAATGTTTCAGTAGATGCACACTTACAGCAGTTTTATACATTAATTACGAAAGACCGGTGGGGATATTACAACTTCCCGAATTCACGATTTCAACTTCGTGAGTTTATGATTTCAACTTCATGAGTTCATGATTTCAACTACACGAATTCAACCTTTAAGGTCAAGACTGGTGACATGTCCGGCGTCCGTACTCGACAGCGAAATCTGCTTTAAATGCCCTTACATACATACATACATAGATACCAAGGGGCAGGACGTGAAGTGGTTGCACACTTGGTTCAAGCGAGCGAATTGGTTGCAAACTTGACAAAATGGCGAAAACGGCGTGATTTTTTGAAACGGGTGAACGAATTTTTGCCAGGCAAGTGGGTTTCTTTGTTATTTTGAAGTTCATTAGTATGCCTTTTCCATAATGCAATATATATGCCACACTCGGTTAAAGGTTTCAGCATCCTAGATTCTGTTTTGACGAAGTTATTGAAGATATAAACTGATCATGTAGATAATTTAAAATTTGACATGTGACTGTTCTGGCCGGTTTTTCTCCTAATTTATTCGAATTTGTAAGTTTTGAACTGCATTTAACAATAACAAAATATGTTTCTGTCAATGCTGTACAAACGGTTTAGTTCGCAAGTCCGAAGATAACGTTCAATACACAAAAATATCTTGTTCAAGCACATTTTGGTTGCAGACTTATACTTCAAGCATTTTTGGTTGCAAACTTTTGTGTCAATAATGTGGCATGCATATTTTTAGCGAGGAATAACTTATCTTTTTTTTTTTTTAATAATTAGCAATATTAAGGCAATTATACCCGTTCATCTAATAAGAAATATATATACAAATTGTGCATGCGTGCAGATATATAACACAGGGTCTTACAAATAGATATATAACACAATATGCTAATTTGAAGTTCAGTTGTGTTTATCTTCATCATTTTTTCTCCTCGATATACTCTTTTCTTCTTACAAAGTCTAAGGACTTTTTTTGGCATGACTAACTGTAAAGGAAAAGAAGAAAAAAAATAGCAACAAACAGCTTTCATTATTGTTCTTTTTTGAGATTTGAAATAAATTTGATTATATAGTAGATAAAAACTATATTTACATTGACACAAGGGCATTATCCACATGTTTCTTTAAATTGTTCCTTATAATTGACCAATCGAAACATTCTCCAAATTCCCTAACTCGAACAATGACTTTAAGTAGTTTTGTCACGTATCAGTCAATGTAAATAACCAATCGTATATCATTTATATTTATATTATGATCTAATAATCAAAATCATCTTTAGAATACCAATTGACACATGATGTACATCAAATCCGAAATATTGTAAACAAGCATGTACGTCATTTTAACTTTTGGTTTGTAAAAATATTTTAAGTACATTTACAACTTTATGTCTAAAGCAACTGCTGAATATTACATACGAAACAAATTAACATTTCTTGTGGTTTTGATAAACTTTGGAAATTTTGCCGCATAACATCGTATGTGTGCACATGTCCTAATGTATATGATGAAAATAATTCACTTAAATACAACAGTACTCTCACATACGTTTGTTTTGTATGTAGTTTTCATTTTCATTTTACATATGATGAC